CTCTCTCTCTCTCTCTCTCTCTCTCTCTCTCTCTCCCCCCCCCCTCCCCTCTCTCACTCTCTTCCTCTCTCTCGTTTGTAAAAGTGCTGTTAAATATGAAAAGAAGTTATTTCAAAATTGTAGCGTTGCAAGAATCTTATTTTTATTTATACGAAATAAATATTTATTAAAATAACAATACTATTAACAATATTTTTTTGTTTATAGTATGTTATTAATGGCTAGACTGACAAGGATGTCTATGTTTTGTAAATATAAAATAAAATAAAAAATTTGACGAATGTAAAAGTATTAATGTTTCAAAAAGTCTCTTACAGTTCTATAATTAAAAACTGATACTTTGTTTTTTGTTAAAATGTCACAATTTGTTGAGAACAACATAGGCTATTTACAACATAGGTTCAAATTCCCACCGGAGTGCCACCTAGATATCACTCTATCCTTGTTGTGTACTGAATGTTAAACAAGGATGATTCGGGGAGCACCCTGGTGGGAATCCGAACATTGCCTATAGATGAGAGAGTTATTTCAATTAATAACTAATTAAATTATAGGATGAAACTACAATAATAAACGCAGAGAAACATGTAAATTACTCTCATAGGTTAAAATAATGTCAGAATGTTGGAAGATTTTTTGCTTGACTTCACGCTAATCATAAATAACACCGCGATTAGTCGGCGTTTTTGGCACCAGTGTGGATCTTGTTTCTCCTCAATTATTACTGTAACTAATTGCCCGCGCGGCCAATTAACGTCAAATATGGGAAATGCAATTGCGATCGGGAAACGCTGTCCGCTCAGCGCTTTGCGCGCTTCTTTAACGCGATTTTCTCTCAATTACAGCTGCGCTAATTACTCGGTTGGCCGATCAATTACGGATATTCATTGCGGTTTGAAATATATATAAATAGCGGATAAAATCGGAAGACCACTCTACGGTACTGAGCTAATGATTAATTAGCACGTTCGCTCATTTATCAATTGTCACGTTTGATGGATTGTATATTATCTGTATTTTTATTTTACATATCAAAATAGCTTAGATAACCACATTTTAATTTCATTACAAAAGGCTAAAATATTATATTC